TCTTACACTCCCAAGAAATTGGTCCACCGGCCAAAGAAAAATAGAACCCGGTATAAGAACGTCGATCAACTGGACAATTTGCCCAATCTGCATCTGTATGCCCATGTAAATAGTCGCCGGTCTTTCTGTAAACTATGGAATAATCAATAGTACCCTTTAAATATTGGAGAACCCTTTTTCCGGCTAGCCAGTGCGTTTTGTCAAATTTAGTGTTGAATTGACTCAAATAGCTTGTTGCATAGGCTATGTCCGGTCGAGTATTAACAGATAAAAACATTAAACAACCTATCAGATTTTGGTAAGGATACACAGAAGATTGTTCACCCTTATCATATGGTTTTAATTTATAATTTTCTAGAGGAGTAGAAACTGATTTGCAATCCTGCATATTGAATCGCTTTAAAGTTTCCAAAATATATGTTTTTTGATTAATCTTTATCGAATTACCATCACGTTTTACATTTAAACCTAAACAATATTCAAGATTTCCCAATACTTTTATTGAGAAATATTTGTTTAACTCTTTTTTAACAAATTCAAAAGAATTGTTTTCCTTATAAAAAATTATAAGGTCATCAACATAAACTGCCAGTATAAGTAGGTCTTCATTAAACCTTTTAGTGTAAACACAAGGTTCTGAAGGAGTTTGTAAAAAACCCAAAGAAGATAAAGTTTCATTTAGTTTTATGTTCCATGAGCGTGCTGCCTGTTTCAGCCCATAAAGAGACTTTTTCAGCAAGCATACCTTACCTTCTTCTCCTTGTTTGATAAATCCTTCAGGTTGGGCCATATAGACTTCCTCCTCCAATTCTCCATTTAAAAATGCTGTATCAACATCTAAGTGCTGCATTTTTAAATCCCTTTCTGCAGCTAAAGCTATAAGCGTACGAAGGGATGAGTTGCGAACCACTGGAGAGAAGGTCTCATAGTAGTCGACACCAGCAATTTGACTGAAACCTTTAGCAACGAGTCTGGCCTTGTATTTAACTATTTGGCCTTCAGCATTTTTCTTGAGTTTGTAAACCCACTTGCAAGGAATAACCTGTTTATTAGGTCTGTCCACAAGCATCCAAGTTCCCTTATTTATTAATGAGTCATACTCATCTTTCATTGCAGAATACCAATACTCATTATCTTTTGAATTAACAGCTTCTGCAAAATATTGGGGCTCATTAAAATATTCGCACGCTGTGACATTATTACAAAATAAATTCACATCAATGCGGTTAGCTATTCTGTTTCTGAGTGGATATCTTTGTCCTGCAGTTTCTTTATCAGAAATATATTCCTCAACTGTTGAAGATTCTTGAGGATCCTCGCAGATATCAACCTCTGCTATACTTGGACCAGCTATTGGTTCTGGTACAATAGAATCATTTGCGGTTGGATCTGATGAATGAATCAAAACTGAGGATGCAGGTACGGGCTCTAGTAAATGCTTTGCTGAGCTGCACTCTGGGTTTGAAAGCTTTAAATCAGAGAAGGAGTTTTCAAAGAAAACAACATCCCTTGCTTTAGTTAATCTTCTTGGAGAACAAGGATCACGAAAATAGTAACTTTTTGGATCATCTGTATATCCAACGAAAATATGTTGAAGAGATTTTGGATCTAGCTTCTTCCTAGAACTAGATTGAATCTGAACTAAAGATCGACACCCAAAAACTCTCAAATGAGATAAGTTGGGTTTTCTATCATACCACCTCTCAAATGGTGTTTGACCATCTAGGGCTCGATGTGGAGACCTATTTTTTAAGTACGTTGCAGTTTCCACAGCATCCTGCCAATATGCTTTAGAGAGATTGCTATCTGAAAGCATAGAGCGGGCCTTTTCTATGATAGATCTGTTCGTCCTTTCAGAAACGCCGTTCTGCTGGGGACTATATGGAACTGTAGTCTGATGTTGAATCCCTAATGACGCTAGATAATTTGAGAATTCTTTATTAACATACTCAGTCCCATTATCAGACCGCAATACTTTAATTTTTAATCCCGTTTCTCTCTCAACCATAGACTGAAAAATACAAAATTTATTCTTTACTTCAACTTTTGAAGAGACAAAATAAATAAATACCATCCTGGAAAAATCATCTATGAATAATAAAGCATATTTATTACCTTGAAAGGAGTTTTGTGACATAGGACCACAGAGATCCGAGTGTATTAGTTCTAATTTGGAAGTAGCTTTCTTATAAGTAATTTTCTTAAAAGGTTTTCTCGACTGCTTACCTTCAATACAAGCGATACAGGGTTCCTTATCAACTTCCGCATAATCTATGCCAAGAGCATTACCTTTCTTAAGTGCGTCCAGCCCTATACGACACAGGTGACCTAGACGTTTATGCCAGAGTTTATAATCAGCACAATCGTAGTGCACATCGAAAGCTGTTAGTGTTTTAGGTAGATTTACAGTACAATCTAAAGTGTACAATCCATCACAACAGGAACCGTGTAAAATAGCATTACCTGTACAAGAAAAATTATCAGAATTATAAAAGTTACAACCATTTTTATCAAAAACAATAATAAAATTCCTTTCAGTAGCCTTTTTAACAGATATCAGATTAGAATTCAAGTTCGGTATATAAACAACATCTGAAATTTTATTTACACTTGCACCTGAAATAGAAACATTACCAATACCTTCGCAATTCAATTGGTCTCCGTTAGCAATGGTCACCCTACCCTTTGATAATGGCTTAAGGTTTTCCATCCAGTCGAACCTGGAACACATGTGAGTAGAAGCACCTGAGTCAATATACCATTTGTCACCTTTGATGTTGCCACATATATTAAGTGCACTCAATAATGTTGACTCTTCTTTGCAAGCTCCATCATTCTTGTTCTTTCTGTGAGGACAATCTGGTCTCTTATGTCCAGGTTCTTTGCATTCATAACATATTACCCGTTTCCTAGCTTTTGACGTGGAAGGCTTTTGTTTCTGACTATACCGTGAGCTTAAGGCAGACCCATCTTCAGAATTACTTCGTGTAAACTCATTTAATAACTTGGACTTGACCAATTCAGTACTCACTATTATATTGGAATTTTCCATAGCCATGATTAAAGGATTGTAGTGCGGAGTAAGACCTCCTAATAATATAGCAGCCAATGAAACATCTTCGATTGTTTTGCCAATTTCGTCTAAATCCTGCGCTGTGGACATGATGGCGTTTATATAACTTTCGACATCATCGAAATCCGCAAGCGAGTAACGATAGAGCCTACGCTCTAGAGCTAACCTGCGTCCCATTCTCTTATCTTCGTACGCAGAAGACAACGCTTCCCAAGCTTCTTTAGGAGATTTGCAAGCCCTTACATGAGTAATCGCTGAACCATCTAATGTTAGACATATCTTTGATAAAGCTAATTCCTTTTCTCTCTCGGTACCTTTATCTTCAATGGTCTTCCAAAGATTTTCATGTTTTAAATACATTCTTATCTTAAACTTCCATGTCGAATAACCATCGCGACAATTTAGGACTTTGATCGATCCTAACGATGAAAGTGAAGATGAAGTACTACTATCCGCATCACCGCCGGTCATCTCTGAAACTTATATGTTTTCGCTTATCCTATTTAATTTTACTAAATCAGAACAGAGCTTCGTGCTGATAACGTTTTGAAGTAAAATTAAATAAAATGTACTTTGTGATGACAGTGATATTTTTATTTATTCAATCTATCAAAAAAAAAAAAAAACAAAACAATTATAACAATTTTGATTATACAGGTCTGCACTTACAACAGAATCACACCACTGATGCCGAATTCGTCGAATTAGCCGTTCTGATTAAATGGTTTAGTTTTTTTAAACTGCTAACAATATATTCAAAAAATCACATAAGACATAACAACGACAATTGTGTTTTCCCTGAAAATTACAATAAAATAATTCATTGTGAACCTAGCTTTCAAACCTAAATTATTAATATTTTTACCTACCTTTTAAATCATGTGTATGTGTGAAAGGAAGAAGGATGGCATTGTATAAATCATTTGCAGAGATTATAATAATAATTATAAACTCTTGTTAGACAATTCCATTAAACCATAATCATAGTAGTTTTTTGGCATTTCAATGGCAACTTGTAAAACTGAATCACAACAATAGACATAGAAATAAATTTTTAAATTGGCAAACATTGATTCATAATTTTAAAGATTTTTACCTACTAATCGTGGATAGATGTTTTTGTGCGATGTTAAGAGGAAGAAAATGTTTCCCTTTAATGATATATATCAAGATACATTTGAATATGTTATTTTCTGGAAGACTTTAAGGGCAAACAAAATTAGCGCTGTCATGCCTTATGTGATTTTTTAATATAAAATATTTTTTTAATTACTTTGCTCAGGATTGAAATTGGCACAGGGGCCATTTGGTAAAGAACAATGTTTTTACATGCTTTTCGTTGTCAGATGACGGTAAAAATTTGCAGTGGGCTCTTGGACTATTATGATTTGATACAAATCCGAGTTGCGCAATGTATAAACTGGAACATTGCTGAGGCAGAGTGAGCGAACTGAATCTTTAGCCTTGTCTGCCTTTGATGTACTGCCAACAAACGGATTCTACGATAAATCGATTAAAACTAAAATAACCGAATTATCGATTATTTTCAAATAATCTACTTTTTGGTATTTCCTTTAAAAATGATTATTCGATTATCTTTAAAAAATCAAAAATAATCGATAAATCGAATAATCAAAAAGCCGATTAACCGATAAATCGATAATTCTAAAAAATAACCAAAATATCGATTATATAAAATAATCGATTATATTCGATCAATCGATTATTTTCAAATCTATTTTTTCGTATCTTCTTTAAAATAAATGATTTAAATACCTTTGAAAAATCGAAAACGTTTAATTGAAAATAATAGCCGTCCCTGTCCTTGCACAAGCTCAGCTTTTGGGGTTAAAATTCAGTCGTAAGTGGGTGAATTAGGGAGAGTATTATTATTAATATTAATTGACATTTTGTTCTGTTATTTTAGGTTACGTTAGGCCAATTTGCTTACCTAAAACGTCAGTAGTTCAGGAAAAAACATACACAGACAAAAAACTGACAGTTGCTGGATGGGGAAGAACTGAAAATGAAACAATAAGTAACTTTAAATTGAAATTAGACGTAAGCGGCAACATTATTGAATTTTTAAAAATATAGGAAAATAAAGACTGAAAGTCTTGACCACAAAATAATTATTTATTAGTTTTTCCTTTGAGATTTTCCTGTATGTTTATGCTGATACTTTCTGATTTATTTATATTCAGACTTTTTGCAGTTATTAATAAAAAATAATTTTTCGTACTTCAATTATAAATTAAACCATTAGATAATTGTTTAAAATATTTTTTCGTTTCAAGGTTCCTTTTAAAGAGAACATCCAGTGCTCAAGAACTTACAGTCAAGTAGGACTAGTACTCAGCAATGCTCAGTTGTGCGCTGGTGGCGAAAAAGGTAAAGATTCTTGTAAAGGAGACAGTGGAGGACCTCTTATGGCGATTAATGTTGACGAAACATATCAATTGAACTGGTTCGTTATTGGTGTAATATCATTTGGACCAACACCGTGCGCTTTGGAGAATTTGCCAGGAATTTATACCAAAGTGGCTAATTATGTTCCTTGGATAGTATCGAAGATGAAAGCCTAATTTTTTATTGCCGAGTTTGATATTAGAACTTTTATTACATTCAAATCTGGTAAAAAGTATTGAAACAGCAGAAACAAAATATGTTTAGCTTCATTTATTACAATGATATCTGCTTGAAAATTTAACATGTATAATTTAAAGAGCTAAATTGCATTTATATAAAAGTTCTATATTATTAATTTGTATATATATGTTCTTTTATACCAGTTTTTTTTTTGTTAGAGTATTGTTACTAGTCATTACTGACTAACCTACAATTTTAATCTAAAACTCTTATAACTAATTATTTATCTAAGAAGTTCCCATTGGGCTGTCTTAATTGTTTCTATAGGAAAGCATCACAAGTTGGCGTGACGATTTATTACACTGTTTTACACTAGCACTAATAATAACGTTCACTGCACTAGCTCAAATGGCTTCTTCCTTTTGAGCCTTCTGTTGAGTGTAGTTATCCAGTAATTGCAGCGTTTCTTCGTTGACGTGGGAGTAGAGTCGACCCTTATGTTTCGCAGCAAACCTCTTTATTTCTTCTTCGATTGTTGGAATCTTCAGGTCTCTATGAAGATAATCGTTTCGGTAGAGCCAAGGTGCATCAACAATGCATCTTAGGACTTTATTTTGGAAACTTGTATCATATTGATATTACTCTTGCTGGCACATCCCCATAGCTGTATGCCATAAATTCAAATTGGTTTTAGGATTTGTTTATAAATCAGCAGTTTGTTGTGCACTGACAATTTGGATTTTCTTCCTAGGAGCCAATACATTTTTTTAAATTTAAGTTCAAGTTCTTTACGCTTTCTTTTATGCGCTCTTTCCATTTAAGTCTTACATCTAGGTTCATCCCTAAGTATTTGGCCGAATCGTGATGCGGAATAACGTCATTGTTTATTCTTATTTGTTTTTGTTCATTTGGTCGGAGAGTAAAATCAACATGCACTGATTTAGTTTGATTTATTAATATTTTCCACTTTTTTGTCCATCGATTGATTTTATTGCAGGTTTCCTGAAGTTTTCTGAGGTCTTTGTATTAGTTCCTCCAACTGCCAATATTGCAGTGTCATCCGCAAATGTTGCTATTTTAACAGATTGTTGTTGAGGGATATCGCTGGTGTATAATAAGTAAAGAACTGGTCCTAGCACACTGCCTTATGGGACAAAACTAAAAGAAATAAGGTAACGACCATAGTCAGACAAGAGAAGAAGACATATTTTGAGAACAAAATAGATAAATCTAAAAATGATGGAAAAGAAATGTGGAGAACTATAAAACAATTGCTAGGTCAAAATAAAAAAAAGTTAGATGTTGAAAAAATTATTTTTAGTGAACATAATAGTACTGTGGAAGAGAACTTTAATAATTTTTACAAAAACAGTATCCAGGAAATCGCAAACAGCATTGAAGATAAGAGGATTTCACCCATGGAGGACGTCAATATCAACAGTGAGTTTGGTGCTTTTAAAAAAATAAGTTTTAATCAATTAACAAAAATAGTGAACAATCTTAAAAATAAAAGTTCAGGTGACGCATGTTTAAGTATTGCACTATTGAAGGGGTTATTTTGTATTATCGGGTACCCTCTTCTTAATCTGGTAAATACGGTCCTTGTAAAGGGTACGTTTCCCAGTGATTTAAAAGTTAGTGTAATTGTGCCAATAGCCAAAATATCATGTCCAACAAGACCAGAAGATTGTAGGCCTATAAATTTATTACCATCTGTAGATAAGATCATTGAAATTGTAGTAAGAGATCAGCTCAAGTCTTATTTTGAAGACAATAATATTTTGTATGAGGGACAGTCAGGGTTTAGAGACCAACATTCTTGTGAAACAGCTCTCCAATTTGTTTGTGCGAAATGGAAAAATGATATGAATGAAAATAATATTATTGTTAGTGTTTTTATTGACCTTAAAAGGGCTTTTGAAACAATAAATAGAAATTTTTTATTAAAAAAGTTGCAAAATTACGGTGTAAATTCGGTAGCATTAAATTTAATTAGGGAGTATTTGTCTAATAGGTATCATAAGACTAAAATAGGAAATAATATATCTAGTGAAACAGAAAGCCACTACGGGATACCGCAAGGAAATGTGTTAGGTCCACTTTTATTTATTATTTATGTAAATGACATTCATAAACGATTAAAAAGATCATTTATTAGCCTTTTCGCGGACGACACGCTTATTTCAGTATCTGGTAGAGATTTTCAGGAAATAATTCAAATATTAAATGAAGAATTGTCTATTTTGTATGACTGGCTGTGTGTAAATAAGCTTAAATTAAATACTGCAAAAACAAAATATATGATCCTAGGATCAAAAGCACAATGCAGACAACTTAATGCGCATGATCAAGTAGTAGAAATAGGTGGTGAACCAATTGAACAAGTACTGGAAATAAAATATTTAGGAGTCATTATTGACCAACAATTAACTTTTAATAATCATGCCAATTACTTATGTAAAAAATTAGGTAAAAAAATTGGTTTTTTTAGAAGGATTTCATGTAACTTGTCGCAATGGTCAAAATCTCTGATTTATAATACAATAATACGCCCACATTTTAATTATTGTAATGAATTACTATTATCAGCTACTAAAGAAAACATCAACAGATTGCAACTGTTACAAAATAAATGTTTAAGGATAATATTAAATTGTAATATTTACACTTCGGTCAGGGAAATGCATGAACAGCTGAATGTCTATACAATTGAGCAAAGGATTAAAATGTCGAATTTAATACTAATATATAAGATGATACATCACAAAACTCCGAAATACCTTAGTACACTACTTGTAAAAAGATCTGAACTTCATTTACGTCCACTCAGATCAATGGACAATTTTAATATTGATTTCACAAAAAAATCTTTTTTGATGGGCTCATTATTGCAGGAAGGGATTCGTCTTTTTAATGCGTTGCCTAAAAATATAAAAGATGCCCCAACTCTAGGTAGTTTTAAAAATATGATTAGTAATTATCTAGGTTTAGGTAACCTATAGTTTTAAGTTTAAATTGTAAATATTTGTTTATAACTAGCTGAAAGCTAAATAAAGAATTTACTTACTTACTTACCTGCTTTAATTTCTTTCATTTCGGAGTATGCCTCGTCTTGCTTTACTCTAAACATTCTTCCAGTTTGATATTATTGTAGAATGTCGACATATTGTCTAGGGAGCATTTTTTCAAGTTTCTGTATTAGGCCAGCATGCCGAACCTTGTCAAATGCTTGAGCTATGTCAAGAAATATAGCTGACCATATATTTTTCTTCGTAAGCTTTTTCGATGATATCGGCTATCCTGTGTTCTTGATCTATTGTCGAGTGTTTGTTTATAAAACCAAATTGGTGCGAAGGGATCAGTATTTTATTTTTAATTAGTGGTTATAGTCGTTTTAGCAGTAGTTTTTCAAATAACTTAGATATTATCGGTAACAATCATATAGGTCTATATGATGACACTTCATTCAGAGGTTTTCCTGTCTTAGGAATTAGAATAACTTCAGCCATTTTCCACGCATCAGGTATATATTTAAGGCGAAATGCTGCATTTATGAGGTATGTCAATTTAACAATAGCCTTCCGTGGTAGTTTTATTTAATATTTCTCCAGTAATTAGGTCATATCCTGAGGCTTTCTGTTTTAGTTGATGTTTGTCAGAATTTCTTTCATAACTTCATTGAGAGTAACTAGCTTAATTTCAAGTTGTTCCATATTATGGATGGTCTCATTAGGAGTGTCTTGATTTTCATCTAATTGGAACGTCTTTTGTAGGTGGTAAGCGAAAATATCAGCTTTTTGTTGATTGTCTCTTGTCCATTTGTTATCTGCTATTCTGATTGGAGGACATTGTTTACACGAATTTTTCATTTTTTTAGTTGCCTTTCAGAGTGAATAATCAGTTTCTTTATCATCTGTTAGCCCTACTAGGTATCTGTTAAAGGATTCCTCTTTGTGATTTAGGATTTCTCTTCTCCGTTTTTGGGTAGCCCTATTTAATATATTTTTATCTTCTGGTGATCTTATCATCTGCCATTTCTTTCTTAGTTTTCTTTTTTCTGCTACCAGTTCTCTTATCTCGATAGGATAGTTTTTCCAGCTGTTAATCTTCTTACTTTTGGTGTGTTCCTCCATGTAGCTTGCTGGATTTCAACTATAAACCTTTCCAGTTCTTCATCTAGCTGATTTTTCATTTTTAGTGTTGAATAGTATTTGTTAAGTCCTCTTGAAAACCTTCCTAATTAGTTTTCCGATTTGCTAGGATCGGTTTGGCTTCTTTTTGAATAACATTATCACTTAGAGTAAGGATTACTGCAGAATGGTCTGAATCCGTATCAAAGTTTTCTTTTACTTGCGTATAGTTTGGTAAAATTTTCCTCAGAATAAAGAAATCCAAAAGGTCTGGAATCTTATTTGGGTCGATGGGCCAATACGTGGGTTTTTCAGAAGATTTGTATGTACAACCAAGTTCTGATGCAGTTCGGTGCGATTCTTTAACTTTGACTGTGGTTAATCTTCAACCCCAGTTGGTGATTTTGGAGTTGTAATCTCCACCGATTATAAATTTGTTACCTAGTTTTTTGAGTACATTGACATAATTTTTTTTTCTGGTTGTATCTTGGTGGGCAATAGATTGCAGCTATTGTAATTTTGCCCCCCATAATGTTAATGGTGCTAATAGTTACCTGATTTTCTGGTTCTTGGATGCCTGGTTCCTTATAGTGGGAAATGTTATTTTTAATAATTAACGTACTTCCTCCTCTTGCTGCATTTGATGGATGAATAGTGTGATAGAAGTTATATCCTCTGAATTTAATGTATGATTCTGTTGTGAGGTGGGTCTCAGAAATCAGACATATATCTATTTTTTGTACGTCCAAGAAAACTTGGATATCAGTTTGTTTTTGGAGAATACCATTGGCATTCCAAGTGGCTATTCTAATATCTATTTTGTCCATTGGTGACTTTGTTATATGTTTGGGGTTTGTTTAACTGTCAGAGAGTAAATCTATTCTGGTTATCAAGGATAATAATAATTCATGAGTAGTACTTTCTGCTAAGCTGGTTGACTGTGCAGTATGCTGTGCAATTTGTGGCGTGGGATTCATGGCTGGTTGTGACCTTTGAATTGGTTGCTGCTGTGAGTTTGTTACCTGAGAATATGTTATTTCATTTCTGACAGTAGGAAAAGCGTTTGTGGATCTTTTCTGTCTCGTAATTATTTTAGGTTTAGTGGTGTTATCCTTCCTTATCTGAAAGGTTTTAGCTACCTCATATCCTCTGTAGTTAGCAGGATGTTCCATTAGGCAGCTTATACACTTCGGCTGTTGTTCTGGACTTTTTACACAATTCTTCGTATGATGTTTTCCTACGCACTTTACGCATCTTGATTCTCTTTTGCAAAAGTTGTGCGTATGTCCAAATAGCTGGCAGTTTTTTCATTGCGGAACTAGTTTTGACTTTCTAATGTTTTCTATTCTAATTCTTAGATTAAGTATTGCTTTGATTTCGTAGATTTTCTTAATATCTTCAATATTTTCGAATGATAGCATGAATAGCGACAATGGTTTTTTATTTAGTTTACGAGTGTTATCCTCGGTTAATTCTATTTCCTTCTTTATTATATTGACAGCTTCTTTACATTTTAATCCTTGACTTTGCAAGTCTTCAACAATATCTCTGGTTTAGATGTAGATGGTAGAACTTTACCATTACTTTAATGTCTCTGTTCTGTTTAAATTCATAAGAATGCCAATTTATTTCTTTGGTATTCAAGGTTGATATGATATTATTGAAGTCTTCTTCTTGTTTAATATTAATTTTAAACTGGTTATTGCTTAGAGCTGTGGCTTGAAAGGAAATATTATTTTCTGCCAGTGTATGGCGCAATTCTTCATACTTATTGATGTTGCTTGCTTTTATACCAGTGATCACATAAAATGAATTATCTAAAGTTCACCTTACTTTTGACAATTTTAATTTAGTTCTAAAAGTTTTATTTTTTTAATAAAATCAATCTTTTTTGAATGTATTTTATTTATTATTGGAATATATTCGATCTAAATTGTCTATTTCCGAAAATTTAATAAAAAGAATTAGATAAAAATATTTGCTTAAATAAGTATGTATACGTTATTATAACAAATTAAATGCTGATCAATCTATTGCGAATTTAATTACACAAAATTTGGACTTTAGATGAATACAAATTTTAGGGATCTTTTTTTTATTTAATGAAGCCTAAGTAGAGCATTAAATCCAATTTAAAAATTTCATAAAAAAGTTAAAAGTAAAAGAATAATTGGGAATATCCGTAGAATTGAATTAGAATTGAATCTTTATGTAAAAAGAAGGACATTGGAAGCGCAAATCAAGTGTTTGATGGCAATTTTTGATTTATTTTTTTTTGTTTGTTTTGTTTTCATCCCACACCTATAGGAAAATCCTAGCAAAAACAAAGATTCAACCTTAAAATCTACTGATAAAATAAAAGGTTTGTATTCCGGGTGACAGCGGATTTACAAAAACATCTGGTCAAGGCCGGCCCCAGGGTAGGGCCATCCGGGCGGCCGCCCAGAGCGCAATGATCTATAGTCGCCAAAATCATGGAAAATGAAAATAAACTGATAAAAAAATTTAGTTACAGGCTTTTATAAAATGCACTAAAAAGTAAAAAATATTTTTTTATCATTCTGATATCATATCAATAAATTATTTTTAATAATATTGCATTGTCATCGGACCCTTGTAAGATTTGACTGATAGTTGACAAGATTAGGAGGCGGCAGGCGGAATTTATCATTTTTATTTCTAAGCCATAATTCAAATAATATATTTAAACATTGAGGCAAAATCTAGTTGAATTCAATTCAACATGACAAAACCACTCAACCACCACCGCCTTTCAAGAATTGATAAGTTTTTCGGCCCGTAACAACACGACTGTACAGGAAACAACAATTTTGAAACCAAGCGAAACAAGATCTAACAGCCCTTTTTAACTGAATATAAAAAGGAAGTAGACTTAAAACAATGCATTATTTGCACTAGAGTTCGGCTGGTGCGAAATAAAATAGTTTGTTTAAATTGTTAGTGCAAAAAAGCTTTAAAAAAGTGCTTATGCAAATTGTCCAGTGCGTTTGACTTCTGTGAAGGTACCGTAAAATGGGGTGAATAGAAACAGTGGGGTAATTAGAAACAAAACATTGCTAAATTTTTGGCGGGAAATAATAAATAATAAAAAAAAAGTTTATGGTCATCGTGAAGTTGGCTATACCTAAAACTAATAGAAAAATTGTAATTTGTTATGTTGACACACCTGTAAATTCCTTCCTTTCTTTTGACATTTGATTTTGAGGTAAAGATTTGTGATTTTTTGGAGCACCCAGAACTTTTTATGTAAGTACCAAACTATTGAATGTAATATATCACTGGTACGTTTTAAACGTTACACACAGTGTTTTAGCAATAGGTTTATGTTTAATTTTTTATATTTCACATTAGTTTGTCAGCAATGATTTTTTGTTTTTTGTGACGTTTCTATTTAGAATCTGTGGGGTGAATAGAAACAGTGTTTCTATTGACCCCACAAGTAATAAACTTATATTAGTAGGTTTGTAACTAGATGATCTGTCAGAAACGACGTTTGCGCAGTCATTTATAGTTTGTTGTATCCTTATAATATAGATAACTATTACATAATTTGTTGTTTTTTCAGATTGTACCCGAAACATGCCCCGAAAATACAAACGAAGTAGTGAAACTACTAAACAGTATAAAAAGCACTCTGAGGAAAAAATCAAGAGAGCAATTCTACATATACGGTCAGGGTTAAG